GGAAGACACTTTCAGTATTTTTAATAATGAAAACTTCAGTAATTTTTAGTATTTCATCTAAAAATACAGATGACAAGGTCACAGGTTTGAATCCCCGTACCAGCCAGCCGCAAAAAAAAAAAAAAGTAAAAATACAGATGAATAGAACGTTAGGGTACAAAAAGCCTTTTTAGCCTGACTCCAATGGAAGAAACCATATGAAGAAAGAATGAGAGCTTTAACTAATATTTAAAACTTCTATACTGGCATAAAAACCGACTTCCATACACATGATTGGTATCAAAATTTAAACTACAATAAGAAAATATTTGTATCATTTTAAAGGGTAAATCAATTTATTCAACAAATACTGAGTTCTTACTATGTGTCAGGCTGTGCTAACATATCCTTAATATACAAAATTGAGTACATTGAGTATATCCCAATACAAAACCCAGGAAATAATAGGCAGTTCACAAAAGGATAAACAGAAATAGCCAATAATAATTTTTAAAAAGAAAGCATATGTGGCTTCACTAGAAATCAGAGAAATGCAATCTGTAACTATAATCATGGAATTCCCTCCACTAGGCTGTTGCATGGAGTGAGAGATATGTAAAACACTTAGCTTAGTGCCTAGGATATAAACATTAATATCTATTACTGTGGACAACAGCCAGACCCTGTAAATGTCCACATCTTTGAGAACAGAATAAGGTAAACATTTGATTCTCAAATGGAAGTGCAAAGTGTAACATTCTTTCTGGAGGACAGTTTAGAAATATGTATCCGAAGTTGATTTGCCAATTCCATTTCTAGTTTTTCCCACGGAAATGTTCTAGCAAATGAGCAAATGTGTATGTAGAAGCGTATCTGCAAACACAGAAAAATGGAAACAATTTAAATGTCCTTACCGGCCAACCCCCTCCCCCCACCCCACCCCCAAATGTCCAAGGGCAGGGGACTTTAAATAAAATATGGAACTTCCATTCAATGGAATACTATGCAGCTTGCAAAATTGATAAATTTTATTTATACATGCTGATATGGAAAGATATCCCTGATAATACTATTGAGTCAACAGAACATTACTTTTCTGTAAATGTAATTCCTAATTTCTATTAGAAATATATTATAGATGTAGAACCATAGGAACAAAAAAAAATTTTTTTTTTGGCAGCTGGCCAGTACGGGGATCCAAACCCTTGACCTTGATGTTACCAGCATAGACGAAGATATTAATAGTGCTTATTTCTGGATGGTCATATCAGGAATGTACTTTATCTTCATTCATTCAAAAAATATTTACTGAGCACCTACCACACGCCAGGCGCAGTCCTAGGTACTGGGGGTAGGGCAGTAAAAACAGTGCCCTCATGGAACTAATTATCGTCGAGTAGTGGGAGACAAATATTCATAAATATATGATGTCAGGCAGTGATAAACGTTGGGGGGGGGGGAAGCAGGGCAGAGGCTGTTTACATAAGGTCAGGGAAGGCCTTTATGAAAGGGTGACATTTGGGCAGAGGGTGAGGGAGTTAGCCCTGTAGATATGAGGAGAAACACCTTTGTTAATTTTCCAACCCTTTTCTTTTCTACACCAAGCATGCAATATGTGCATAATCAAAACAAAACAAAATGAAAACGCTCCTTCCATTTCAGAAAAAGATCTGGAGCCTGAGATCTTCTCCAGGCCGCGGCGTGGAAAGGGTGGGAAAGTGTCCCAGTGTAGAAAAGGAAAGAACATGGACATGGCTCGCCTCTTCTGGACCCTCCGGGCCCCGGGGCCCCGCCGCTCCGCGCAGACGAAGCTGCAGGGGGGAGAGCGCAGGACTCCGCCCAGGTCAGCGTCCCCGTCTGTCGCATTCTGCTGAGCGACCCAGGACGGAGAATCGCTGCAGGAGGTTCCGCGCCCCTCACTGGCTGCATTTCACAGGAAGCTCCACGCCCCTCTAGGAGCTTTAACTAAAGACTTGGGAGTAGCGGGACCCAAGAGGCGGGAAACGCGTTTCCCCGGCCCAACCTCCAGCTCCGGGCCCACGACCCACTCTTTGGAGTGGAAAGAGACATGGGCGGAATGAAGGGCCAGCCCAGCGCATGCCTTCCGGCTGAGCGGGCGCTCCACTAGGAGCTCGGCCAGGTGCCGTCTCCGCTAGTCAGACCAGCCTTGGCTTCTCCTTCCCGCCGCTCAGGGACCACAGGGGCAGAGACAAATGAGTGAAAAACTCAGACAAAGGAACTCTGACGGAATCACGACGCAGACCTCCGCCTTTCATACCGGGTCCATGGGCATGACGGTTTTGGCGTCGCTGCCTTCTGATTGGCTAGCCCTGGAAATTCTCCCCGTTCATTGGCCATCTGTCGGGGAGAAGGCAGGCCCAATGGTCAAACGGACTTCTGGAGGGTGTAGTTCCAAAAACAGCAAGGCGCATGCGCTGCGTACTTTCCCGGCGAGCCCCGCGCGGACTTCCGGCTTCAGGACCTGGTAGCGGAAGTGGGAACGCTTAGGCGGTCTTGGGAGGTGTGTGTTCCGGGGGCGGGGACCGGCGACGCGGGCAGCCGGGCTCAGAGGTCGGGTACGTCTCAAGGATAGTAGGGAGGGGGTAGGATGGTCAGAAAGTCCCGACCAAGGACTGTCGGAGAGTCCCTGAGTCCCTGAGTGCCTGCCAAATGCTAACTGCAAGAATTAGTTTATGTACACAAGGCTTGCTTGCATTGGCTAAAACAAAACAAGCAATCACCCGATCGCACCCAACTAAGCATAAAAACTGAAAGTAAATCAGGCTTGGCACCGCAGTTTGAATTGGCTGCTGCGGTCCCGTCCGGAATAAATCTTTAAAACTCCCTTCTGAGTGTGTCTCCTTTGATTTTGCTTATCTCCTCCTCTGATCTTGTCATCTCTTCCCTGAATTGCTACATTTGTATTTTCATTTGTCTTTTATGGAGATAATTCATTACGATTTTATATGCTGAGAAAATTATATTAAGTGAAACAAGTCAGGCACAGAAAGAGAAATACCACATGTTCTCACTTATTTGTGGGAGCTAAAAATAAATAAATAAATAAATATACAAACAAATAAAGGGTGTGGGGGGGGAAGACACAACAATCACAACAATTCCTTGAACTTGTTAAGACAAGTGAACAGATGTGATGTGGTGGGGGGGGGAGGGGGGAGGAAGAGGAATGGGTAAAGGGACACGAAAATCAACTACAATGTATATTGAGAAGTTAAAATAAAAAATAAAATAAAATAAAAAGCATGACAAAAGAAAAATAAAAGATTTTATATGCCGAGGCAGAATGTGTAGTCACAGTTTTCATCTCTCTTCTGTTGCCATCACTTTTCTGGCGTCTATTTTTTGTCTATGGGTAAGTTTTGCTGCTCTTTTCTATCATTTTTATAGTAATTTCGTATCAAGGGTTGTATTAGTTTGCATAACAAAATACTGCAGATTGATGGCTTACACAACAGACATTAATTTTCTCAGTTCTGGAGGCCAGAAGTCCAAGATCGAGGTGTTGGGAGGGTTTGCTTTCTTCTGAAGCCTCCTTGGCTTGCTGACGGCCACCTTCTTGCTGTGTCCTTACAGGTCTTTGTTTGGCTCCGGCCGGGTCAGCGTCCCCGCCTGCCGCGTCCTGCCGAGCGACCCTGGTGAGTCCTGGCCGTTTCCGAGGTGACTCTTCCTCGGTCAGTGGCGGATGAGAATGGCGCGCCTACCTTTAAGGGGTCGTGTGAGGAGTAGAAGAATCAATAAAGTGCTTAGTGTGTAGCAGAGAAGAATTGGAAACAACCCGAACGCATCCCTCGGGTATTGGCTAAGAAACGAGCACATCCGTACCGCGGAAGCTCCTAGTGCGCTAATAAAGAAACACTGCTAGGTGGAAACAGCAAATTACGAAACAGCACATGCAGTAAGATCTCATTTACGTAAAGACACATCAAGCACTTTTTTTTTTTTTCCCATTTCTACGGATAACATTTTCAGTAAAAGTACAGGAGGAGATCTGGCACGATAATGGGGGGAGGGTGCAACTGTGAGAAAGGGTTTCTCTTTTATGTATTTCTGTATTGTCTAGATCCCTCAATCCCGCTCCCCCACCTTTTTTCTTCTTTCCAGCTGGCCCGTACGGGGATCCGAACCCGTGACTTTGGTGTTACTAGGTCCACACCCTCCCAAGAGAGCTAACGGGGCAGCCCATTCCTGTACCTCTCCTTTTTTATTACCATGGTTTCTATTTTATCGTTGAAACAAAAAACCAATTAAAGAAAATTTTAAAATATACTTTTAAAAACTATCGTTACATACATTCATATATACCTGTTGATAAATGGTTTTGGTTGGTGTCTGTGAGCCCTTCTCTGACACCCCTAGGCCAGATGTGTTTCGGAATTCAGAAGTTTTCAAATTTGGGAAAGGTAACGTAGTGCACAAATGGCATATCAAGTAACACTTCCAGCAACATCTGGGGCAACACTCAATAATCAAACACAGAGTTTTCTTACTGAAGTATCAGGCACATACAGAAAAGCACATCATAAATATAGCTGTATAAATTTTTATGAGCTGAACACGTATGTTGATATTTCTGCTGTAAAACGTGTGAACATTTACATTAAGTGGCATAAGCAGAAATTATAAATATGCTCGTCTCAGTAGGTTAGGTGGTATTACCACCAAATGAGCGAGGTTTGGTTTTGCTGTTAAATGAGTCATGAAAAACCTACTTTTGGGTTTCAGAATTGAGGATAAGGAGTTGTGGGCTTGTATTAGTAGAAGAGACAGTCACGTGAGCAAAGCATTAAAGAAGAGCCTAGAAAAGGCGTCAGGGCCGTGAAAGGGAGGATACTGCAGCTCTTTATGTCCTTTCAGGCTGGTGTATGCTCATGTATTCCACACCCTGCCCCCAAAATCTGCTCCTTCACTTTTTTCCCAGGGATGCGTGTCCAGATGCCGGCCTGGCTGCCACAGGGGATCCCGCTGGGAGACTGAAAGGGCAGGCTACAGGGCCTGGGTTGAGGCCGACCAGCCCTGAGCCTTAGGCCAGGGGAATGGCAGCCCCCCTGGACCCCCCAGAACAGGCCCCTGGGGAGGGAGAAGGGCTTCTGATCGTGAAGGTGGAAGACTCCTCCTGGGAGCAGGAATCTGCCCAGCAAGAGGACAGCAGGGATTCTGAGGCTTGCCGCCAGCGCTTCCGGCAGTTCTGCTATGGAGATGTGGGTGGGCCTCACGAGGCCTTCAGCCAGCTCTGGGAGCTCTGCTGCCGCTGGCTGCGGCCTGAACTGCACACCAAGGAGCAAATCCTGGAGCTGCTGGTGCTAGAGCAGTTCCTGACTGTGCTGCCTGGGGAGATCCAGAGCTGGGTGCGCGAGCAGCACCCGGGGAGTGGTGAGGAAGCTGTGGCCTTGGTGGAGGACCTGCAGAAGCAGCCAGTGAACGCCTGGCCACAGGTGAGGGGCCCCTCCCACGTCAGGGGGCACCAGGGTGGTACCTGGGCTGGAGACAAGTTTCAGAGGGTAGGGGAGACGCAGAGCCTGAGGGAGTGTGCACACAAGCACGACATAACATGTTGCCTTTCTTTTTTTTTTTTTTAAAGATGACCGGTAAGGGGATCTTAACCCTTAACTTGGTGTTGTCAGCACCACGCTCAGCCAGTGAGCGAACCGGCATCCCTACATGGGATCCGAACCCAGGGCCTTGGTGTTATCAGCACCACACTCTCCCGAGTGAGCCACGGGCCGGCCCAACATGTTGCCTTTCTGAAAGGCACTGTCCAAAGTAAATGTAGTTTCTTTTTGGTGGCTTCAAGGGCAGAAGTAGGAACAAAGTGGGCATGTTCTAGAAAGGAGGTTTTAGCCCCACAGAGCTTCTGTAAATGTTTATTTGTGTTCTGTTCCAGGCTAGGCCCTGAGGATACAGTGATATGTATAAGGGCACCAGAGGGGGTGTGAGAAAGTACAGCTGTCCAGGGGTACCTGCTTTCTTGTGCAGTGTTGGGTCCTTGACACTGGAAGCATCTGGAAAGGTGCTGATGAGTAGCTAGGGTGTGGGGTTCTGCTCTTGGCAGGAGGGTCTCCCCACTTTCCTGTGCTCAGTGGCTATGATTCTGGGCTTTGGGGGCTGGTTCTTGCCTCATGATTGATCAGGGAGTGTCCTTGGACACACAGCACTGCCTGGTGTCACATTCTCTCTGGACTTTTCTGGGGCTCCACTGACCTCCTTCCCCACACCCCAGCATCCTGAGGGACGTGTGCTGTGTCTCCCTCCCAAGGATTAAACTCTGTCTCCTGGGTCTGGTCTCGGTGCTGATGAGCATGTTGTGGTTCCTGCACAGGCTGTGCCTGCAGAGGAGGTGGAACCCGAGGCTGCAGTCCAGAGATCCCAGGCCATGGTGGGAGCATGGAGCCAGCCGCCTGTACCCCAGGAGCAGCACAACCATGGTGGTGAGTAAGCCTCTGTCCTCATAGGTGGCAGAGTGGCCAGGCAGGGCCTTGCTCCTTCCTGGTGTTCCCAAGGGTAGCAGGCAGGGTGTTTCAGTTCTATGGAGCCCCAGCCTGCCTCTGCAAGTGCATGTACGCATGCAGGGGGTGGCTGTGGAGTCTCAGGCCCAGGCCGGGGCTGGCCTCTCTGAGGCTCTGTTTTTTTCCTTTAGCCCAGCATCCTGCTCTTCCTAAAGAGTGGAGTACCAGAGAGATGACAGATGCCTGCTTTGCCTCTGGGGTCCACGTGAGTTACCTGTTCCTTTGTCCTCGCCAAGGCCCTTGGCACTTCTGACACTGTCGAATGGGCCTTGCCCTCTCATCAGGGCCTCTTCCATCCACCGCAGGCTGTCTGGGAGGCTGTGAGCCATCCCTGAGCCGGGGCTTCTTGCTCATTCTAGGAACCTATGGCATTAGGAGACATTCCCTTCTACTTCTCCCGGGAAGAATGGGGCTCCCTGGACCCTTCTCAGAGGGATCTCTTCTGGGACATAAAGCGGGAGAACTCCCGGAACACCGCCCAGGGTAAGTGGGCGTAGCCAGGACCTATGGGATCCCAGCAGCAGAGGGTGGGTCCAGGCAGGTCCCCCCAACCCCCCCGCCAGCCTGCTGGAATCCTCAGTCTTCCTTCCCACCCATCCTTACCCGGTTGCAAAGCGGGCTTTCCCAGGTCTCTCTGAGAGCCCTGCGCGATTCCTTTCTTGCACTGTTGTTCAGTTTTCTGTGCCTCTGCACGAGTGTATGTGACAAGTGCCCAAGATGTGCGGCCCCGCGCTGAGTGCTCTTAAGGGCCTTTTCTCATTTGATTCTCACAACTCTGTGCATAGAAGTGTTGTCCTCATTTTACAACAAGGGACCTGAAGCTCAGAGAGGCCAGTGGACACTGAAGAGACAGAGCTGGGACTCTGGTGAGGCGTGGTTGTCCCCGCCCTTCTCAGCATTGGTGGGGCTCATCTCATTTAATCCGCACCACCCAGTGGGATGGGCTGGGGTCCCTCCCTGTGTATGTTCTTCAGTTTGGGGACCTAGAGCCTGTGTAATAAGGGAACCACAGTACCCCGACGCACTTGGTTCCTCAGTTTCCCACAGTGAGAGTCTGGATAATTTACTTAAATTTCAGAGTTTGAATAGGCAGTGTTTAGAGAGTGGGACTCTGGGTCCCAGTTGGAAAGCAGGGCATAGATGGGTTAGGTAACTTGTCCCAGGCCATAATTAGTAGGTGCCTCTGCAGGCAGGATCAGCCTACCTGGACACCTGAGGCTTACTGGGAACTGCTTTTCTGCGGAATATTATCATCAGCTGCATTTTATAGATGGGGAAACTGAGGCTCAAGCTGTGTGAACCCAGGCCTGGCTGAACCGGAAAGCCAGAGAGCTGGTCCCTGAGCCGTGTTTGTTTCTGGCCTCAGCTCTGGTCCCAGAACCAAGTGGGACTGAAGAGGCTGCCTCCTCTCCCCTTGCAGGTTCAGCATTTGGAAGCCAAAACGAGAGGTCGCAACTGAAGGAGGGGGTGACGGCATTGCCAGGCCAGGTGTGTGGCGACGTGACCGTGTCCTGGAGCCCTGAGGAGGCTGAAGCCTGGGAGAGTGAGAACCGGCCGGGTGCGGCCCTGGGCCGGGTGGCCGGGGCGCGGCAGGGGCGGCCACCCACGCGCCGGCGCCAGTTCCGGGACCTGGTGGCCGAGAAGCCACACAGCTGCGGCCAGTGCGGGAAGCGCTTTCGCTGGGGCTCGGACCTGGCGCGCCACCAGCGCACGCACACGGGCGAGAAGCCGCACAAGTGCCCCGAGTGCGACAAGAGCTTCCGCAGTTCCTCGGACCTGGTGCGCCACCAGGGCGTGCACACGGGCGAGAAGCCTTTCTCGTGCTCTGAGTGCGGCAAGAGCTTCAGCCGCAGCGCCTACCTGGCCGACCACCAGCGCATCCACACCGGCGAGAAGCCCTTCGGCTGCAGCGACTGCGGCAAGAGCTTCTCGCTGCGCTCCTACCTGCTGGACCACCGGCGCGTGCACACTGGCGAGCGGCCCTTCGGCTGTGGCGAGTGTGACAAGAGCTTCAAGCAGCGTGCCCACCTCATCGCGCATCAGAGCCTGCACGCCAAGATGGCCCAGCCCGTGGGGTGAGCGGCTGGCTTGGACCCGAGGCCGTGCAGCCAGGTGCGCGCTTCCGGTGAGGCCTGGCTGCCGCGCGACCTTGGGGATTCTCCACCCCTCCGCGTCGTACACTCAGAACTCGCCTGCCCTGCGGACCTGCCCCCACTGAAGGGAACGGAGTTCCTTCCAGCCGCGTCTTTTCCCTTCTGCGCATGGGTCGGTCTTCCCCTCCAGTTTCCTGGAGCCCAGCCCAGCAGTAGCGCCGGCGCAGCAGGGTGGCTGAGGACTCAGGCAGGGCCTAGGTTCCCTTTCCAGAAGCCCCCTCAGCCTCGCTCCCGTGGCTCTTTGTCACCTGCCTTCTGTGTGCGTCTGCGGGCCAAGCCCTTTTCCCTGCCAACCTGTGCCTTCCAGTGGGGTGGAGGACTGGCCTTGACACCCCCCCAGGGGGCTGCTGGACTTGGGGAGGGACAGTGGCTTACACCTAGTAGAGTCTGGGTCCTGGGCGTGGCCCCGGGGCTCCACCTCTCCCATTTGCAGGCTATGACCACTCTGTCCCGGCCATTGCTCTCAGCCCCCGAGAGCCACCCACCCACCCGTCTGGTGAGGGTGGTGGTGCTCCAGCTACAGGGGGCCCACCCCAGAGAGCAGGAATGGGGCGCTGGCTGCTGCCCGCTCCTCCAGAGGCGCGGCCTCATGTACTTAACACTAGCACTCCATCAGCACTTTGCTGCTGACTCCTCAGCACTGTAGTCCGTGTTTCCCATCTGCATCGTTTGCAGATTTGTGTTGACAGGGACGGACCACAAGCCCTTGGAAGAGGCTCAGCCCTTGGGCCTCAAGAGGGTTTGAATAAATGTGGAAACCTGCCCCCGGGCTGTTTTGTTCTTTACATAGCTGCTGTGGGGGTGGGAACCTGGAACTCACATCCCTGTTCTTCAAGCCTGGGAGTCCTGGTGGCACATGGTGCTGTATGGCCACCTTGGCCCCAAAGGGCAGCCATGAGCCCCGGGACCCTCGTTCCCCCTGTGTCAGCTGGAGTCTGGTCCGGGGGCACCCTCCCTGCCCTAGTAGGAGAATGGGCAGCCGCACGGGACGGATCTTCACCAGGCTGCTCTCCTTTGGCAGTGGTGGAAGGAGGGGAGGGGCTCGGAGATGGCCGACTTGCTCGGTGGCTGGGGGTGCTACACGCATGCTGCTCGCCAGGTCTCCAGCACTGGAGGCTGCCCCATGCTCGAGTCCCTGCTGGGGAGAAGGCTGCTGACTCAAAACGGGCCCTGCCCTTGTTCCTGCCCAGCTCTTGACATTGCCTCTCCCCTGCCTGGCCCCAGGCTGGGGCCTGCACAGAGTTGGTGGGTGTGTGGTCAGAGCCACTGGTCACTGAAGTATGACTCCTCTTTCCATTCTGCTGTACCTTCCCTGTTCACCTGGTGGTGGCCTCCAGTGGCCCTGCCTGAGGGGAAGTGGGAGTGGGTAGAGACAAGAAGTTTCTGTCCCTTAGTAACTGGTCTGTGTGTGCCAGCCTCTGCCCCCAGGCCCTTCCTCAGCCAGCCCCTCATTTAACACACACCACCGTATGGTCACTGTGACAGTCCCCACTTCCCACATAAAGCGACCTCTGATGCCAGGTGGCAATTTCCACCTTTGGGGGCTCTGTACAGCTGTGTGCATGTCGGGGAGGGGTGGCAAGGTGGAGGGAACAGTACAAGGACTTTTTTTGGTGCTGGTGGCTGCTCCAAGGGGAGACACCCGGCTGTAACGAGATCAGATAGGAGCTTGGGCCAGGTTCTAAGAATAGGATTGGGCACAAGTTCCTGGCTCAGGTGGGGGTAGGTCAGTGCCAGCCAGGAAGTCACTGCCTGGAGCGAGAGGACAGGTTCAGGGGAGTGGGACCCAGGGTTTGCAGGGGAGCAGGGCAGAGTCCGCTCAGCTCATAAACAGAGCTGATAGGAGGTGGCGTGTGGAGAGGGCAAGGGTTGGGACCCAGGGCACCAGGAGCTAGGGCCAGGGAGTGAGCTCTGTGCTCGGAGGAAGCCCTGTCTGGCCCCCATGGCCTTCCTGGTGGCTGGGACCCTGCGGGTGGCCGCGCAGATGGCAGACGCTCAAGACAGCCTGGGGAGAAAGGTAGCGGGAGGCAGCACCCAGCGCAGCTGGCTCCTGACTCCCAGCAGTGTCCCAGCCCAGCTCTGGCCTTGTCTCCCCAGGGGAAGTACAGCCTACAGGGTCCAAGGGTGGCCCTGATACTCAGCAGCCCTGGGGTGCCCACTGCTATGGTCGCTGCCCTGGGAGGCGTTTTCCAAGCCCTGGGCTTTGAGAGCTGTGAGAGGAGGGAGTCCCCTGTCCAGGTGAGCTCACACCTGTCCCCTCCATGACCCCCAGCCCAGCACCCACCCTCACCTCACCCCTACCCCACCTCCCACCCTTATCCCTACACGGAACAGCCCGATTCAGGCCAGGCCTTCGCTCTTGCCCCTAGGGCTTCCTTGAAGAGCTGACTTGGTTCCGGGAGTACCTGGATGCCCGCGGGGGCCCTATGGGCTGTGCCCTAGTGGCCTTGGTGGCCCCCAGCGGACAGCTGAGGCAGCCACAGCGGCTTGTCCAGGAGCTGAGCTGCTGTGGGGCTCTGCGGGGCTGCCCCAAAGTCTTTCTGCTGCTCTCGGCTGGCCATGGGGGTGAGTAGGCTGGCAGGGCCCCCTGTTCTGGGTGGTGAGGCAGGGGCGGAGTGTGGGCAGGAGCCGGGCCCTTGCCTCAGGCCAGCACCGCTTCTCCATCCAGCTGCCCCGGAGCCCGGAGCCTTCCTCGCTTGCCTGGGAGAGCTCTGTGGCCGCTCTCATCACTGGTCCCTGCTGCAGCTGCTGACAGAGGTGGGGGCCCCAGCGGGGAGTCCCAGGGAGCTGGGCTCTCCTGAAGCCAGTGGCAGTCAGCAGTGCTCTTTCCCGTGCTCCTGCAGCCACACTTGCACTTCTGGCCACCCCTTTTCCTTTGCGGGGCCATGGCTGCCCCGTTAGACTGAGGGATTCTGGAAGCTGGGCTGGGAGTGGTTCTGGCCTGAAGGTCTCACTGGACAGTTGGGTGGCCCCTGGGCGGCTCTGGAGGTGCAGAGCATGGGTCCTAGCTCTGCTCCATGGCTCTCCCAGGCCTGGCACCCTCCCCAGGCAGTGCTCACCAGGTGAGCATGCCCCGGCAGGCCCTGCCCTGCTGTAGGGAGTGTCCCCACCTCTGTGCACGCTGATCCCTGGGTTGGGGGTTAATGATATGGCCTCCGTCTACTTGGGGACATGTCCATGACCTTGAGCCTGCACTAGAGCTCAGGTCTTGCTTACATCTATCCTGCCCTCCCCATCCTCCCTCCGACCTGGCAGGTGACCCCAAAGGACTGTAGTGGCCATGAGCCTGGGGGAGTCTTTTCCTGACCCAGGGTCCTGACTGCCTGCTTGGGTTGCACCCCTCCTCCCCCTTGGAGCAGCCCCTGAGGTGTCCTCGGGCCCCACACTCCCCAGCTCTTCTGCAGGGTGGCTGAGGAGTCCACAGGGGGCACCCGCTGCCCAATCCTTCGGAGTTCCTTGAGGGGAGCGCTGTTCCTGGGGGGCGTGGAGCCCAGGGGACCTGAGGTGAGGGGGACAGTCCTGGAGTCCGATTATGTGGTCACAGTTGCAAGTGGGACGGAGGCTCAGGGAGACCCAGGTTGGGGCGGCGGGGAGCTGGGAATCCTCTCAGAATAATTCGTATGCCCCTGACCCTCTCTGCAGCCAGAACCCAGCCTTAGTGCTCAGTATGACCTGTCTGGGGCCAGGGCTGCCCTCCTCTTGGCTGTGACCCAAGATCGGCCTGGGGCCCAGTACGACCTGGAGGTGCTGGGGGGCCTGTGTCAGGCCCTGGGCTTTGAGACCACCCTGAGGACAGACCCTACAGCCCAGGTGGGTAAACCCAGAACTTCTGGTGGTGCTCTGAAGGGAGGGTACCCCCTCCCTTCCTGAGAGTCCCCAGGGTCTTAGGACTCTCTCTTGGGCCTCTCATGGATCGTGGGCAGGAAGCACACTCACACGTCTAGCCTCCATCCTTCCTGCTGCAGGCAGTGGCCAGTTACTTCCCTGCCTTTGTTCTCCTCCCATGCTGGCTGCCTCTCTGCTTCCAGCTCAAAGCTTTACCTGCAAGGGTCTCAATTTCCTTCCTGGACATCCATCAGCCCGCACTGGACCTCCATGTTACCACCAGTGAGGCTATGCCAGGCCTTGCAGTGGGGGTTAGAGAAGGGCTTCTCCCTTGGGCCTGAGACTGGCAGGAGGTTAAGTGGGCAGGGGTCTGGAGAAGACTTCTCAGCCCTGTGGAGGGCAGCCAGGGGCTGGGAGGAGGTGGTCTTGGTCCAGGTTTCAACCTTGTCCCTACCCCAGGCTTTCCAGGAGGAGTTGGCTCAGTTCCGGGAGCAGCTGGACACCCGCAGGGGCCCTGTGAGCTGTGCCCTTGTGGCCCTGATGGCCCATGGGGGGCCACGGGGGCAGCTGCTAGGTGCTGATGGCCAAGAGGCACAGCCAGAGGCACTGGTGAGGGAGCTGAGCCGCTGCCAGGCGTTGCGGGGCTGCCCCAAGATCTTCCTGCTTCAGGCCTGCCGTGGGGGTGAGCGGAGCTGCCCGGCCTCCAGCCTGCCCCTCCTGCCCTCGCTTTCCTCGGCCACCCTCAGCCTCCCGGGACTCACTGCCTACCTCCTCCAAGAAGCCCGAGCGCCTGCCCTTTCCTGCTCCCTCTCCCATCCTCCGCTAGAGGTCAAGTCCACAAACTCAAGCCCTTAACCCTTGGCACTTGTCATTTGGCCTGCCCCAGAGCTCAGGGGTTGGGGTGGGGGGCTCTTGCCTTGACCCCACTGTTTGCACGGGGACTGGACCCTGGAGGCACCCCCAGGTATCCACCGAGTGAAGGTATCTGCCTCTCCCCTCCTTCCCCAGGGAACAGGGACACTGGCGTGGGGCTCACAGCTCTACCCTGGTACTGGTGCTGGCTGCGGGCACCTGCAACCATCCCTTCCCATGCAGACATCCTCCAGATCTATGCTGATGCCCCAGGTGGGTGCTGCTCTCCTTTCAGAGCCCGGGCTTGGGCAGGGCTAGTGCTAGGAACTGTCCAGAGAGCATTTCAAGGGCTAGACGTCTGCCGCCACTTCTGTCCTCTCTTTGCCAAGACAATGGGCAGGAAAAGTCTTCCTAAACTGCAAGAGCCTTTGGGAAGCAAGGGCTTCTTCCCTGTTTGAGCCTCCCAACAATCCTGGAGTCAGCAAGGTGAAATAGCTTTTCTGAGGTCACACAGCCGGTAAGTGGCAGGGATGACCTTTGAACTCCCTTGTCTTGCCTGCCCTGTACTCTTTCCATGGCCCTGTGCTGCCCTTGAGCCAGAGATGGAGAGACTGTGGAGGTGGGGGAGTCCCAGGATACTGGTAAATGGAATTGACTCCTCCTGCAGGCAGCTCCTCCGGGAGCCCCACTCCAGGGAGCTCTGATCAAGCAGACATCCTGTCCGTCTATGCAGCCACCGAGGGTAAGAAGACCAGCCATCAAAAAGCCCGTGGTTGCACAGGGTCCAGCTCCCTGGTCTAGGATCTGGAGTGGTCTTAGGGGCAGCCAGGGCTTAGAGTTGGGGCACAGAGGCACCAGCCCCATTGCTGTTAAGCCATCTTCCTTCCGTGGTTTATTATTTACGATAGTAATGATGTGAGAACATATTAAGTGCTGTGTTTCTCCAGGCTGTAGATTCCACAAGGGCAGGATAGATGTTTGCCACAGTGCCCTGCCCAATGCCTGGCACATGTTAGGTCCACAGTAAATATTCAATATTGAATCTACTCCTATGTTCACTCTGCAAATATTGAGCAGCAACTTGTTCCAGATGCAAGAAGTCCCTGATCACTGCCCTGTTCTCTTGCCTGACCCCTGGCTCCTGTCTGCTTCCTGCCCCCAACTTTCATCAAAGATGTGACGCTCTGGCTCTGGTTTCCTGACCTAGGCTGTGTGGCCTATCGGGATGAAAAGGGCTCAGACTTTATTCAGACGCTGGTGGAGGTCCTCAGAGCCGATCCCGGGCAAGACCTCCTGGAGCTGCTGACTGAGGTGCGTTGGGGTGGGGTTGGGTGACAAAGGGAGAGGGACTGTATTTGTCCTTCTCCCCAGCCCTGGTGCGCTGACCAGCTCCCATTAACCCCGCCAATGAAGGAGGGATCCCCTGCCTCACTGGTGCCAGGTGGCCTTGCGCATGACATCTGACACTGGACAGATGATATGGTCAGAAGTTATTAGTCACATATACTAACTAAAGTTCCGGGGAGAAGGACACTGCACACCATGCAGGGGGGCCGCATGGGGGTCACACTTGGGAGCAGAGTGAACCAGCAGCGCCAGTGGGAAGCAGGGTGTGCAGTGACAAGATGGTGAGATCCCCCCCCCCACCCCCCTGGTGCCCGCAGGAGGATGTGCTTGGTTTGTTTGAATAATCTCGCAGGCTGGCAGGGAACTGAAGCTGTTAGGTTGAGGACCGGGTGGCCTGCAGCTAGTCTGGGGATAGGGGCACTATGGGGGTGGGGAGCCTTTCGCACTGGGTGGGGGACATAGCTGGTGAGAGCAGGGGAACCCGCGTTAGGCCTTCGGGGCCCTCCTGTGAGGCTCAAAGACGTCAAGGCAGCACATGAAATTTCAGGCCTTGCAATACCCCAGGCCAGGGCCGCCGGTGGGTGCCAGGCCGAGCCCCACAGGGCCTGGCGTCCTGGGCACAGGCTGACAGAGCGTGGTCCTCCCAGGTCAACAGGCGGGTGTGTGAGCTGGACGTGCTGGGCCCTGACTGCGACCAGCTCCGCAAGGCCTGCCTGGAGATCCGCAGCTCGCTCAGGCGCCGGCTCTGCCTGCGGGCCTGAGGCGCCGGCGGCCGCCCGGGGTGTGCTGAGATGTGGGCGGCCGCTCCCAGCGCCACCGCCGACCCCATGCACTGCGGGTTCCTCGCCTGGAGGCGGGGCAGGCAGTGCGGGGGTTGGCGCTTAGCTGGCGTGTAATAAACGTGTGTGGACGGTCGCTGCGCTGGGAACAGTGCCTGCTCTCAGGGACGCGTGAAGTAAGTGGGATAACGTATGTGAAGCAGCTGGCTCTTCACAAGGTCACAGTTGTGCCCCTGGGAGCCAGAGACCCAGCCTCCAGGACTAAGCAACCCACCGTGGGCTGGCGGGGCTGGGTGTGCTGGGAGCGCCCCAGGGAGAAGCAGCCCTGGGAAGGGGCCGCCCGGAGCCACGTGCCTCTCCCATAAGCGTCGCGGTGCACGCGCATCCCCACCGGGCCCCGCGCCGGGGGTCACGCAAGTGCGGGAGAGGCGGCCTCTCCTTCCAGTCGTCAGAGTCGAGCCGGGCGCCGGGAGACTCTGGAACAGACCATCGCAGGTTCACCGGGAAGCGACGGGCAAGCGCCGTGGCGGGGGCGCAGCTAGCAGCCTGCCCCAGGGCACCAGGCGGCACGTGGGGGAAGAAGTTTGATAGGGGTGCCCGCCAGGGGGCCAATGCGCAGGCGCAGCCCGCGTCGCCCGTTCGGCCCCGCCCCGCCCCGCGGCCCCTCCCGGAGCTCCGCCCACGTGCCCGTCCGAGGGGCGGGATCCTCTTACTAAACATGCACATCAATGCACACCGCGCAGACTCCGCAGAGGTTTTATGAGAAAAGCTAGAGAGCTCGCTGCTGCGGGGCCGCGTGGCCTAATGGATAAGGCGTCTGATTCCGGATCAGAAGATTGAGGGTTCGAGTCCCTTCGTGGTCGCTGGAGTTCTTTTCCACAATTTCGTTTTAAAATTTTGTCTTCTCTGGGGACTGCACCCTACGCAGGCCTAGGGCACTCGGGCTGCGCCATCCGTTCGCCCCGCAGTGCGTAGAGACCGCTCGGACGCCGCCCCGCGCCGTGCAATCGCGCGGCTCGGCACCCAGCGCCACTACTGCAGCTGAGGCGGCTCGAGGGCAGTGCAGGACCGACGCTGGCCGGACATGGGCAGACTGCGCAACCTGAGGCCGGGCCCGCGAGCCCAGGATCGCAGAGGCAACTGGTCACACTAGAGTTCAGGTGATGAAAACCGTGATAGACAGGGGGTTGGGATTACGTGGGACGGGGTGGGGAGTCGCCCCAAGGGGGTCAAATGACGTGCATTTTAAAATTTAATAGATGATTGCGATGAGAAATTTTGAAAATAGTGATAGTTGCACAATATTGTGAATGTAATTAATGCCACTCAGTTGTACACTTGAAAATGGTTAAAATGGCAAGTTTTGTTTATGTACAGTCGTCCCTCGGTCTCTGGGGGGGATTGGTTCCTCGACCCCCGCGGAGAGCAAACTCCTTGTATGCTCAAGTTCCTGATATAAAATGATGTAGTGTTTTTATATAACCTACACGCATCCTCCTGTATACTTTAAATCATGTCTAGATTACTTATAATACCTAATGCAATGTATCTGCTATATAAATAGTTGTTATAAAAGAACAAAAATAAAAATAAATAAATAAAAAGTAAATAGTTGTTATAGTGTATTGCTGAGGGAATAATGACGAGAAGAAAAGTCTGTACATGTTTAGTACAGACGCAACCATCCATTTCTCCCCCGGAATATTTTCGATTTGTGGTTGGTGGAATGTACGGATGCGGAACCCACGGATACGGAGGGCCGCCTGTATATATATCCAGTTTTGTAAAATAAAATCTAATAGATTATTTAAAGTTTTTGCAATGAGAGTGTATCCTTAACTCTAGTGTAAATGTATATCTAACATTTTAAATGGAAAGAGTATATCCAGGATTGATATTTTACCGGGAGAAAAGGTCTCTACCTGCTGAACCCGAGTTCTCACCAAGGAATTCCGGTGAGGGGAATAATCAGGGCGCAGAGTGGAGAATCCTCGATTAGGGCAGAGGCTGCAGAGCATTGCAACTGGAGGCAAGCACTCCGACAACAGGGGAGGACGAGGGACGAGGACCACTGCAGAGCACGCGATGTGCACTGCACCCCTTTCCCATATACGCAGTCACTCACGCCTCTCGCTGTAGTTAGCCCAGTATCCAGGATTCTGTAAAGGAATCACGTAGGAATTGAACCCTGGACTTGTCACATCGTAAGCGAGAATCGTTACCTCTAGGCCAACCAGACAAGCCAGGACGACAGTCTCTTTCAGCTCCATCTGCACCTGTGCCGTCTCCTCGCGGTCCTAAGGATGCTCAGGAACGGGCGAGATGTGACACATCGAGGGGTCAGCAAAGCCAGGATGGGGACCGGGGCTCTGGGGAGGGGGATGGTAACCACGGCGAGGTGACTGAGAAACTGGTCTAAGACGAGCGCGGACTCTCACTTATCCGCCCCGGTGGCCTAATGGATAAGGCATTGGCCTCCTAAGCCAGGGATTGTGGGTTCGAGTCCCACCCGGGGTACGGGAGGTGGAATTTTAGGCACTCTGCAGAGAGGGAGGGGAATGTAGGATGTATCTATGCATGCACCATGCTCGAAGTGTACTGATAAGTCCCTATTAAAAGTCAGTATTCATTTTCAGACAAAGGTGCATGTTTTTAGTTTTCAGCAAAGAGTGGGTGAATCTTTCGAACTTTTTAAAGAACGATTTATTCTATTTCATGATATTTAAAAAATTGTTCATTTTTCTAGGTGTCTTCATTGTATTGTGGCTACATATATTTTCAAAAATCCTTATCTTTTATGAACACACAGAATTATTAAGAGATTAAATTGCAGGACAACTGGTTTGCCTTTATTATTATTGTTATTATTATTATTATTATTATTATTATTATTATTTTGGTGGAGGGTGGTATGGGGATCCGAACACTTGACCTTGGTGTTATAACAAGACAATGGGTTTGCTTTAAAATCACCAGCAGGATGGAGGTGTAGATGAAAGGAGCTTTAAGTTAATAATGGCGTTAAGTTGGGGGACATGAGGCATTATACTATTTTCTCTGCTTCACTGCATCTTTGAAAGTGTCCATAATAAAGTTTCCTTTAAAAAAAAATCCATACATGACTTCATCCTCGGGGTAAAAATTTCCCAAACTACAAGGCACGGTGCAGAGTAAAATTAGAAGCTTCACACACTAGACTAATAGAAGTGTAGTGGATTGAATTATGTCCCCCAAAACTAAAACAAGCTTGAATTGTATCCACCAAGTTTTATGTGTTAGAAACTTAGCCCCGATGGTGACTGTTAAGAGGGTGGGAAATTCTATTATGGTGATTGTAAGGTGGGGCCTTGAAGAGGTGTTGGGTTGTAGGACCGTGCAGTAGTGAGTGGATTAAAAACGGTGGTCAGGGGCGTGGTTGTGAGGGCTTTAAAAGAAGAACGTCTGTCTTTCTCGCTCTGCTCTCTCTCCTTCCACCGTCTTGCAATGTGAGACCCCTGGGTCACTGTCGCCACCCCCAGATGGACTTTGGACTTAGCCTCAAAAACTGTAAGCAATAAACGTCGTTTTCTTTAAAAATCACGCAGTTCCATGTATTCTGTTATAAGTAAAATAAACGGACTAATACAAGAAGCATCTGATTTATGATAATTTGGGAGGACTTGATTACACCTGTCTCAGTGCTGGGGACAGATTATCTAGGCAGCAAACCAACAAACAGAGGAACAGTTAATATGTCAGATGGAGAGAACAAATCTATGGTTATTAGAGGGGGAGGGGGAGGGGAGGGAGAAGTGGGAAGGGGAAAGGGGAGGGAAAAGGGGAGGGGGAAGGGTAGAGATTGGATAAGGGGCATAAAGAATAAGTATGATTTGTAACAATTAATATGCTAATAAAAATAAATTAAAAAACAAAAACAAAAACAAAAAAACCATATGGAGTTCCGGGGGTGAAGAGAGAAGGGCAGAGATTGATACCAACCTCAAGAAACTCAAAGGATTCAGGGGCGGTGGCTCCCAACATATGCCCATTTAATTTGCCAGTCTGGCCCCTGCCTACCCCACCTCCCTCCACCCAGAAAAAATGGATTATAGCAAAGGACAGTGGACTATCACAGACTTAACCAAGTAGCCCCAGGGCAGCTGCTGTGATAAATGTGGTATCTTTTCTGGAGCAGATTAACACAGTATTGTATGTAGCAAGTGGCTACTGACTTGCTACGTTTTAATACCCATCGGGAAGGAGGATCGGGAGCACTGTAGTTTTCGTTCAGCGCCACTACTGCTGGACAGATGGAGTGGACAACAAGGCACTCCCAGAGCTATATTAAGTCACCTGACGGATATAGTCAGAAAGAACTTAAACTATCTGAGCATTCCAAAGAACATCATATTGGTCCAGCAGTCTAGATGTTGCTGTGAAGGTATTTTTAGAGATGTGATTAATATTTAAATCAGTAGACTTGAGTAAAGCAGATCACCCTCCACAATGTGGGTGGGTCTCATCCAATCTGTTGAAGGCCCTAAGAGAACACTGAGGTTCCCCTGACGAGGAAGGAATTCTGCTTTTGGACTGTCTTTGTACTCAAGACTGCAACATCTACTCCTGCTGGAATTTTTTTTTTTTTTTTTTTTTTTTTCCAGCTGGCCAGTATAGCAATCCATGACCTTGGGGTTATAAGGCTGTGCTCTAACTAACTGAGCTAATGGCCAGCCCTCTGCTGGAATTTCTGACCTGCCAGCATCCCTTGCAGATTTCAGACTTCCCGGTCCTCACAATCATGTGAGCCAATTCCTTAAAATAAATCTCTGTCAATATTTCTATTTCTATCACTATCCCCACCTCCCTATTGGTTCTGTTTCTCTGAAGAACCTGACTAATACAGTCTTTTTTGGAGGAGGATGGTGCCTCCACCCAGACACCAAGGGGGACCTGGCCTCCCCACCCGCAGCCCCAGGGTATGGAAGCCTCGGTTTTCTTTTTTG